GTTGACTTCTGTATTAACCTGCATGATCTGCTTCTATGGATTAGAAACTTATCTCTAAATTTTCGAAGAGTGAACATTTTACTAAATATTTATTAATATCTAATTACTGTATACTAATATTAGAATATCAACATCATGCAAAAGTGAATACAATAGAATAGGCAACTTTGCTCTAAAAGAGCATGAACAAATATTTTAATATTTTTTACTATACTTGGAACTCTGGGTGCGTAATAAAATGGACAATTGTCATTTCAAAAAGAACAAAACAAAAAATATTTAGTTCAGCAAATAAAATTCAATCTCTGGCCTTCTTGCTTTAAGTTTTTAACAATATATAACAAAAACCAATACTTATGGAGCACTCAGTATTTAAAAGAAAAGTTTGTTTGTATTCTTACCATGCCATAGCCTATATTTGGGGGTTTTCTTTAAACAGTTCTGAAATCGACTCCTCAGAGGTAATGTCGATCTCGCAAGTTAGGGGTTCAGCATTCAGGACGATCTCTACTTTGGGTGCCATTGTCAAGCCCAAGATTATCACCTGTACTTCCTCTCCACTCTTTTCCTGCATGTGTGTGCATACATGCATACCTGTGTTAGGATTAACTTAAATCAGTCATTCTCATGAAAACACTTAAATACGTCTCAGATCTAGCTTCATCCTGTAGGAACTCAGGGACCAGAAAGAGAGACTGAAATTCCCAGACTAGTATCTATTCTCTTATACCATGGAAGTATGGATTCCCCTCTTGCTTACTCCTGCCAACATGGATTCCCCTTCACTAATTCCTAATACAAATACTGTCAGCCACGATTTCCACATTTATGTACATGCTGCTTTGCATTGATATTTTACCTTTGCTGTTTTTATAGCTAGTCTCCACTCAGTCCTGTGTAGTTTATAAACTCTTGCTGGCATAAATTGAGTTTTATCAAATATAATCTTCAAGACTAAATCTTGATAAACATCTGTTGGACAAGTTATATGAATGATGTCCTTCTACAAGTGCTTGTCCCTGGCCCTTTCAACCAGCGAGGAGTGTCAAATGACAATATTAAAACAATTTAATAACCAGTTGAATGACCTTTACTCAAGGGAAAACAGTCTGTAAATCGGTAGAGTACAGTACTTCAGACATGAGCATACTTAGAATTTTTTTTTTTAAAAAGTATTTATTTACTTAGACTTATAGACCTAGGGTACAGGCCAGAGGTGCAGGGCCAGTGAGAGGATTCACCAGAGACAGAGTGGGGAGCAGAACAGGCAGATGGACGAAGTACACTGCTGAGGGGAGCAGCAGGTGAGTCAGGAGAGGTCTGCCGCGCCATGTGGAGCACCTCCGGGGCTGGAGACTGAACTTGCCCTGAAGCTGCAGTGGCTAGCTTGCAGTGCTATGTCCTAACCCATTGTACCACTAGGGAGGACCCAACATTATAGAACTTTAAAAATGGCAACTGAGAGGCCATTTTTGGTATTTGTATAAAACTGTTCTTTCATGTATCTTTTTCCTGTCCAGGCTTTTACCCCCTCTAGACTACTCCAGAACGTTGCTTTCTGGGCTTTTACCTTAGTCTCTAAAATTACTTTCTTCATTTAAGAGGCAGATTTAAAAAAATCTAGTTATATCTATTGATACCACAGAGTGACGATGTAACTCAAAACTTAATGTTTTAAAACCACAAATAATCATTTTATCATCTCATGGTTTCTGCAGGTAATGAATCCAGACAGAATTTGAGATTGTCTGTGTCCCACATACCTGTAGCCTCACCTGGGGAGACTTGTATGTTGGGGGAGATTTGATGGTTGGGGAGATGGGAATAGAATCATCTGGAGAAATCTTTACTCATGTATCTGGCAGGTGATGCTAGACTTTATCCAGATTGTTGGCGAAATACCCCTTCATGTGGTCTCTATGCTGTATAGCACAGTGCCTGAGTTCCAATAACAACCATTCCAGGAGCAAGACTGAATGCTAACTTTTATGACCTACCTTTGTCTGATACTGAAAGAACTCTATAATTTATCCCCAAAGCCTTTCCTCCATTACTTCTATAGTGTCTCATCCATTCTAGCCAAACTCATCAAACTCGCTCTGCATTTCCTTTTTAATTCAACTGATTGCTTTTCTTTTTTTCAAGATTTTATTTATTTATGCATACAGAAATGGGGTTCAGGCCACAGGTGCAGGAGCGGCAAGAGGATTCACCAGAAACAGTGGCAAGCAGATCAGGCAGATCGACTGCTAAGGGGAGCAGTGGGCAAGACAGGAGAGGTCTGCTGTGCCATGTGGGTCACCTCCGGGGTGGGAATCAAACTCTCACTGAAGCGGCCATGGTTTGGCTTAGCTTTTCAGTGTAGAGCTCTAGCCCACTGCACTGCCAGGGAGGGCCCCTGAATGCTCTTCTTTTGACCTAAGAAATCCTACTGCTCACTTAAAATTCTTCCCATGCACTGAATTCTGCAGGATGAACTAAGTTAGCAGGGAACCCCAGAGCTCCTTGAAGTTACATTTCTGTTTGAGGGTACTTTTAGTGCACTACCTGTCTAGGTGGGGCCCTTTGCCATTTTGTCTTGATTCACCTCACCATGTGCCTGAGAAGTAGAAATGACAGGAGACATATAAAACACAATTCATTCTCAGACTACCTCATTTCCAAAGCCCAGATTCCGCATCATTTTATTCCACTGTAAAGTGGATATACCCTGGCCCTCTAGCCTTCTTCTTCTAGGAAATTGAGTAAATGACTAAACATTAAACCAGGCCTATCACCTCCTACCAGAAGAACCTAAACATGAATTGTAGATGTTTTGCTCATTGACTAAAGCCAGGTAAGAGAAAGGGTAGAGAGATGGATAACAAACACTAAACCTACACAATAATTTTAGTAAAAAAGATAAATTGCTGTGTATGTATGGTGGTAGTAGGGTCAAGAAATCCTTTCTGAGGAGGTGAAAGGCAGAAGAGATGACCAAGGTGAATGCTCACCTAAGGGTATGAAACCTATGTTGTCCCAGAGTGAACTCCACCTGTTAGAAGCAAAGTGTGTTTATTTGCTAGTTTTATTAGAACACAGACACCAGAAACAGGAATTGTGAACCCAAGCTGCCCTGTCTTGGAAATGTTTATATGAACAGAAAGAAAGCCAGTCCACATTTGGATCTACTCTGTGCAAATGAGGTTCTCAATTCAGTACAGTTCTGATGCGTAGACAGTCATGACAAGCCATGGCTAGACAAACCAATCTTTGTTGTCTGTGGAAGGCTGGTTTGGGTTTAGCAAGCCAAGGTACCTAGCAAACATGCCTGGGAACAGAATGTCAGCTGTTTGTTACCCAGACTCAAATAATGCCCAAATTTATATATCATTTGTTACTCATAATATGATTCATCAATAAATGCATGTACTGGTGAGTCCCAGGACAAGTTAGGGTTAACTAGGCAGTTTCTGGAACAGTGTAGGCTGGGACTTAGGAGAGTTAAAGAGGCTTCTGAGATAAGGACAGTGAACTCTAAGAGGTGCTAAACAAAACATACTCCAGAGATGAGGTCAAAAAGTCCTGGAGGACTAAACAAAAACTGGCCCTCTGTGGTGGCACAGTGGGTTGAAGTCCAGCACTATGAAGCTATCTGAAGCCACTGCAGCGCAAGTTCAATTCCTGGCCAGGGAGGTGATCCTTTCCTGTCCTGCATGCTACTCCCCTCAGCAGTGTATTGCAGTATATATGCCTGTCCTGCTCCCTGCTATGTCTCTGGTGAGTCCTATCACCTCCACACCTAGACCCCAGTTTTTATATGCATAAATAAGTAAAATCTTTGAAAAAAAAAAAAAAAAGACCGTGGACAGGGGAGTTACGTAAACACTAAGATAGAATACCACAACGGCTTCCTGACCTTCCCAAGTACAGTGTACCTGGGAGTTCTTACTTTCTCACCTTGAAATAAACTTTACTTTCTTAAAGTCTGCTTACTAATCTAAAATGTCTGTGAATTCCTTTTTATGGCTTCGTGGGACAAGAACCTGTGTGGTACTTTTAGGGGGAAAGGATGTCCTGTACCAATTCCACATAGGTTTTGTGGACTCTCCCCACCCACCCCCACTCCAGACCAAAGCCATCAAGACATGGAAAACTACAAATCACATCACAGAAAGGAGGCTTGCTAGGACCTGAGGGTGGAGCTAGGCAGCCTGGTTTGGTATAAAACTAGATGTGGGCCTTGTTGGGGGGGATGGGGGGGTGGGGGGTGGAGGCTCTTGCTCTCTTGGCTTTTGGATCTCTTGGCCTCTTGGTTTGACTACTGGCTTTTACCGGCTCTCACCATGACTTTGGAATTCCAGCTTAGAGGACCCAATTTATTTACCAATTTATTGCCCTCTTTCTTTCTCCCTGAAACATTTCTTCATTTCCCCTTCTTTTGTAAATAAAACCTTTATTAACCTTTGTGTGTGTGCCTGCAATTGCGTATTGTTATAAATTACTTTAATCGCTTGGATGAGGACCCACAATCAGGCAACTCATTTCATATCGGGGTTGCCCTGTCACAGTTCAGGGATTTAATTAACAGCACACACTGGTGACACTGGCAATAAAAGAAGCCAGATTCAAGAAGGGAGATGATGAAGAGACATGATGAAGGGTGAAGTCGGGTGCGCTTGAGACCAGTGGAGAACAGGGCAGGAATGGTAAGCGATTACCAGGTGACCCACAGTTGCTAAGCTAGCTGGGTTCTTGATTGAACTGTGGTAGAAAGTTAAAGTGGAAACAGGGCAAAGAGTTGGGGAAGGAGAACATCAGCTATCTTCCCCGTTTTCCCATGCCTAGGGTCCTCCCGCCCCTCTCCCCATGCCACAGTGCGCGGCGCTTAGCTGAGGATGACTGCCAACCCCTTGGTACCCCAATTCCCTCGCTCCCACGAGGGTAGCCCTCTGGCCCCGCCCCCAGAAGACTTCCGCTTCCTCGCCCGCCCCACCCCTATGACTCTGCGCATGCGCGGGGGCCATATTGGCGGCAGGTCCTGGACCCTGGTGGTTTCTCTTCCCGGACCCCTCCATTCTTGGAGTCCTTTTTCCGGTGAGCCTTTCCCGTGGGGGCTCTTGGGAGCGTAGTCGCCCGCCCGGCGGGCAGGGG